GCCGCAGTACGCGGTGCACGGAGTGGCGGACGGCTTCTCTTCCGTCGGCCACATGGAGTTTTTATACGATCAAGCCCCGGAGAGCATGAGGAGCACGGCGGCGGCGCTGTTTTGGTTGTCCGCGTCTGTGGGAAACTACGGCGGCACGCTGTTGGTAACATTGGTCGGAAATTTGACGAAGAAGACGAAGCAGGGAAATTGGTTGCAGAACGATATTAACAAGGGGAGGTTGGATTATTACTACTGGCTGGTCGCCGGATTACAAGTTTTGAACTTTGGGTATTTTCTGCTTTGTGCGAGGTTTTATAGGTTCAAGCCGCTGGAGATCGCCGGCGCCGGCGAGAAAAGCGTCGACTTGGAGCTTGCGGAGGCAGGGAAGGGAAAGCTTAGTTGTGATGGCGATGAATGAATTCGGATTAGGCAGAGGCAGAGCAAGCAGAGAGAGTAAAAAAATAAACATTGTAGATATTAAATTAAATGTTTTAGGGTTCATAATCTATGATCACTTGATCAGTGTATCAATTACCAGTACGAATTAATCTTTTAATAATAAATCTTTTAAGATGGTGCTCTATTTTGATAAAGTTGCCAGCCTAATTCAAGCTAAGCTAACAGTACTGAAGGACAACAATTATTGAAAGGGCGCAGTAACAACTCCAGAATCATTAAATATAAAGCTATATGGTTATATATTTTTAAGATTTAAAAAAAAAAATCAATTTTTATAATCATAATAAGATATAATTGGATATCATTGAGATTGATTTGAAGGATATTAAGGGAAATATGTATAGATGCATACAATTCTTTATTAAAAATTTATTTTAAGGAGTGGTACAAAAACCATCCCAAACGAAGCCTTAGCATCTTAGAACTTCAGCTAATGACTTACTGCAATTAGAAATAGAAGAAGCTATAGATTGAAATCTGATAAATTCAGCTGATGATCTTTAGCAATAACAAAAGCTTTTAGTGTTTCATTCCATCATAAACGCACGCAAAGGAATCATTTTTAGGCAGAAAAAAAACAAAGCGACTGATTATATCATTTTTAATACATAAGTCTGTAAATATTTATTTAGAAGGTTAGGTACCTAACCTGCAGCAGAATCTACTGCTCCTGCTGCATCTGATTCAGTATGAAAGCTCCTTCCAAATTCTTATGCACTTCCACCTTATATTTCTCCTCATTTGGTCCTCTCTTCAGTTTAAGCAGCAACTCCAACTTTGCAAAATCGTCAATCACCTTTAAGAAAAAAACAGAAAGAATAAGATCAGTTTAAGCGAAGGGCAAAGTGATGTGAAGCAAGCAGAGCAGATGCCCACCTCTGCTTTTGCATTTTGAATCTCGAGAAGTTCGTATGCAGCAAGAGAGTTGGACTTCGCTTGAATGGCCTTCAAAGCATGATTAGCTGCTTCCTGGACAATAGGATCATGGGTTGGGATGGGCCTCCATCCAGGTTCATGCCCACCTAGCACATTATTGAACATAGTTAAAAGTCAAATTCTCGTTTAAGATCATTTCTCATATTTTCTAACCAAGTCTTTTTAGGTCTATTTGTACATTTCTTAACATAAGTCAAATTTAATACATCTACTTTCCTAATCGGGTTATCGGAAGGCTGCCATTTTAAGTGACAAAATCATCTAAGGCGACTCTCTCTAATCTTATCTTCCACTGGAGCTACTTCAACCTTTTCACGTATATCCTCATGTCGTATCATATCTCTAAGGGTAAAGCCACTCATCCACCTGAGCTTCCTCATCTCTGCAACACTCAACTTAGTATTATGCTTTTCTTTTAATAGCCAACATTTGGAACCATAAAGCATTGCAGGACTCACCACCTTTATCTTAAGTTTGAGGGGGGTTTTCTATCACCAAACAAGCCCGATGCATTCCTCCACTTCAACAATCCAACTTGAATTATGTTGATAATATCCCCATCAATTTCACCATCACTCTGAACAATAGATTTAAGATATTTAAAACGTGTACTCTTATTAATGACTTGATCGCCCAAATTCATAATCCCCTCACTATATCTATCACTACTAAAATTACACTCCATATATTTAGTTTTAGTTCTACTCAAGAGAAAACCTTTAGACTCTAAGGTTGACCTCTATAATTCAAGTTTACCTTCAACTCCCTCTCTAGTCTTATCAACAAGAAGAATATCATCAGCAAAAAACATACACCAAGGTACAATGGTAAAATGCTTTTCTTGTCACTGCAGCGAATGTCCTTCTAAGGAAGCCGTTGCACCATCACCTTTTCACAGATTATGTTGAGAAGTAATCCACTTTCCCTACGTTGTCAAATGTGGTGATTAAGAAGATTTTAGAAGCTTAGTAGGAAAGATAATCACTAATGAGTTTCTAGTAAACGCATAAAGCATTCCTCTAGAATTATGTAGAAATTAATAAGGTGGAGCTCACATACAAATAAGGTTGAAACCCTTCACACATTCCCATCTCAACCTAAGTATTGGTTGTCAACGAAGCCACATATTGATACAGAACGTTTTATCTACATATGGCCAGCAATGTCACCTCTTCATCAAAGGTTGAATCTACTGGCTCAAGTCCATCGGCTTGCTCTAGTACTTTGATTTCATTTATAGCCAGCTCTAACACCTCCAAGTATAATATAAGGTTCACCTACTCATTTTCTACTAATTGAATCTTCTGCAGAGATGATATAATTTTTTAAGATCAAGATGCAAATCATGCTCCAATCACAAGGTTATGAGGACTGTTATTGCAGGTTATCAAGAGCCGAATAATGTGAGCAAGCTTTCTACAGAAGAAAGAGAGAAGTTCAAAGGTGGAATCTCTGTCTCGAGTCAATAGGTTTGCTTCGCTACTATGATTTCCCTTATAGCTAGCTTGATGCGATCTAAAAAAATACTAAAATTGCAAACTAAAGACTTCCTTTCCATAAAAGATAGACAAATAAAACCTTAAAACTCGTCTACTTCAAACTCATATTAAACTGAACAATATAATATCTTACAACTTATAAAAGTTTTGAGAAGAAAGATACAAGTGAAATGGGAACGGTGGAGAGAAGAAGAAGATAGAAGACCGAGACAAAACTAGAAGAAGGTAAAGGAAGATAGCTCGCAAGCTATTACAAACCCGTAGATTATAGTGATAAAAAATTCTTCACCATTCACGCTTCTCTTTTTCCAGCAGCAAACAACTCTATTTATAGAGGCAAAAGGTCCAAATGCCCGCATAAATATGCTGCCCCAAGTAGCTAATAGAAGTCACTTCTTGAGAAGATAAACCATTAGTCTAGGAAACAGCAATGAGGGGAAACGAACAGCCACCAGTAGGAATTCTGCTTGGAAAATCAGCAAACAGAGAAACCGAAATCTGAATGGGAATCAAAAAGCAGCCAACCAACATTGGCCAAGCCCATTAAGGAAAAAAAACTGCCCAAGATTATATGCCCAATTAGCCATCAAAGAGCCAGGAAATAAATTCAACATAAAGCAAAAATAAAAAAGCTATCTTTGGCTGCATCATAGCTCCAAGGCTTACAAGAATAATATCTTTTGTAGAGATGGTCCTAAATTTTTAAAGATCAAAATGCAAATCATGGTCCGATAGCAATGATTATGATTACTTGTTATTGCAAGTTATCAAGTGCCCAATAAAAGCAAACTTTTTGCACGAGAAAGGGAGAAGTTCGAAGCCAATAAAATTATGAACGCAAAAAGTATTATTTATAAATCATTCAGCAACTGTGGAAAATATATTTTAAAGAACAGGTAGCAATGAAATTCAAGGAAGCGTGAAAAAGTTTACAAAGACAGTTTGAAGGAGAATGATGAGTACCAGGCTCCAATCTACACGAAGTTGGAAAATTTAAAGATAGGAAATGAGAAATGATGAATACATATTTCTTAATTGTAGTTAAGTGGTTATTCAAATAAAAGCTTACTGAGAAAAGAATAGTGATCAAATGGTAGCAGAAAATATTTATAGCAGTCTATTGAAAAAGTATGAACACATAAGTGCAACACTAGAAGAATAAAAAAATTTGAAAAAAATGTTTAAGTTCAAGAATTAATATTCGCATTTTTAGTTGTTAAAAAACAACGCACTCTGATTAGCTAGTCAAATGTATATTTCAAACAAATTATATTTCAGGGTTTGAAAATTTTAAGGAAAACAATTGTATCTTTGCATTATGCTTGGTTTGATTTGATTCCTATAATACAATCTACTGTTTTGGATTGTTTTCACCGACGTTCATGAGTTTTTCTCGCTGTTTTTACCAATTATTGTTAAGTTTGCTTGCGAACTCAAGTATTTCCCATTAGGGTTACTTGCGAACTCAAGTATTTCCTATCACCTCCTCCTAGCCACCAATTGCATCTCAATAGAACGTATGTATTATTATTCAGATGACTACATAATGGAGTTCTACAACAATTCAAGGATTGTTCTCTTTCAAGGCAGAGGAAAAATGCGACAAACTGACAAATTCCTCTCAAATCTTGTTATATAAGAAATTATATTTAAAAAAATTCATAAAATATTTAAGATACGCGTGTCCGACACGCGACACGTGTATCCAATTTGTATTTAATATTTTTTAATCGGACAAAAACGTGTCCAACATGTGTCGGAGGAGTGTCGGGTGAGTGTCGTGTCGGATACGGTGTCAGACACTGCATGCCTCTTTGAGGAAAAGTGTCGGTGCATCATAGCATAGAACCTTCCAAAAAGGTTAAATTCCTTCTAAAACCTCTCAAATGTTCTCCATTTTCTTTTCCTCGATCTCAAAAAATTCATGACATTGTAATTGTAACTTCTTGTTATAGTACAAGAGAACTCTCTCCTTCTCTTTCTCTCTCTCACTATAGTGGACGTACGCTGATGACTGATCCAACCACATTAAAAATCATTGTGTTATTTGTATTTAATATTTAATTTTTATTATCTCTTTCTCATATTAAAAGTAGATGGGTTTAATACTCTAGTTTATTCAAACTCTGATTGTGTTACAATCTACCAATCTTTAAAATTAGTTAGTTTATCTTCGCATTCTCATTTGATGCTGTCATTACCAGGAAAAAATAAACTCAAAGAAAACAATCATGGGATATATTAATGCACACACATTTGGATCTCTTCCTTCTCCACTTCCTCCTATTAGTAAGGATATTGATCAAAATGAGTAAAGCTCACGTCCACCAACCACAAGTACTATTTACACCCACAAACTCAACAATGTAAAATTATATGCAAGTTCAATTACCAATACAAGACAGGAAAAGTGATAGTGTTGTTCCCATTGTTCCTTCCATTCTTAAGTAACTCGAGGAGATTTTTTTTTAGGGGGCGAATGGAGAGAGAGAGAGAGAGAGAGAGAGAGATCTTTGGAAATTCATTCGCAAGCTTACTTTGTGAAGATAATTTTCAATCCGATCTCGTTTATCATCAGATAAACTTGATGTTTGTGCATGTAGGTTGTCTGAAATGCCTGTAGTCTTAAATGTGATTGGCTATTAAGATGTATTTATTCGTTGTTGAAATTCAACAAGCAATTAAAGAAGCAAAAAAGCAATTCAAAGTTAGCTTTAGAGAGACGTTCTATCCAAATGGTTTCAAATTGAGTTATAGCGTAGAAAGATGGCGGAAAATAGCATGTGTGTGGATTTCAAGAAACTGAATGATACTTGCCCCAGGCCCCCAAGGATTCCTATCCACTATCAAGCATTGATAATTGTTGATTCAGTTCTGCCATATCCTGTAATTATCTTCCATGATGCTTTATCCAATTTGCACCAAATCAATATGCATTATGACGATGAAAAGAACAATTTTAACATCAATGCCAGATTGTTATGTTATTGTTATGTCTTTGGGTCTTAAGAATGTTGGGTTACTTACGATAGCCTAATGGAAAACATCATCAAACCACAGAAAAGATAAAATCTAGAAATATATTCATCATAACAACTGCTTTTGGATCTACTTGAAATGTTTTCAACACTAAGGGGATTCAACAAAACGCTTAATGCTACAAAATGTTTGTAAAAAATATATCAATCTAGAAATTGTAAAAAATATATTATCACACTGAATGAAATTGTAAAAATCATAACAAGATTTGCAAGTTGGTCTATTAAAGATAAATCCATCTTGCTCTATTAAAGAAGGGACTTTCCAGGAAGTTAGTTGGTCAATGCCACTTCATCTCATAGTTGGGAGAACAAAGTGCTCCATTATTCAAAGCTCTATGCAAAAGCAAATAATTCAACTGAACAACTGAATGTGAAAATTTATTTCAAGAAGTAAATTAGTATTTTACTTACCATCATGTCCTCAATAGTCCCATGCAGAGGAAACCTTTGTTGATTTGCCTAGGACTCCATAATTCAATGAAAAGTTTAATTCTGGTTAGGGAAGTAAACAAGGATCGACTTCAAATTTTCTCTGTAATCAATCAC